CTGGGTTTTAAACACCAGAGGCTCAGCCTCAAAACTCACGTCTACATGTCACCACAGTAGGACAAACTGACAGACAAGTTTGTCTTGCTGTTGGAGACTTCTCGTATCACCCCAACCTGGGTCCCTGTGGCTGACTGTACCTCTGTCTGCCTTCCTGTCTTTTAATCCCCTTTCTCCTGCTCTTCTGCCCTGCTGTTTTGTGCGTCCCTGGGGCTGACTGCTCCTCTGTCCGGGTTCCTGGCTTTTATCCCCTTTCTCCTGCTCTCTGTTCCTTGCTGCTTTGGGCAGGCCTGAGTTTGTCTCCTCACCTAGTTCCTTAAGCTGATTGCTCTTCTCTCTGGCTTCCTGGCTTTTATTCCTCTTTCTCCTGCTCTTCCCGCTTGCTACTCTGCACGTCCCTGAGTTGTCTCTCCTCACCTGTAACACTGGGGCTGACTGCTCTTCTGTCCGAGTTCCTGGCTTTTTATCCCCTTTCTCCCGCTCTTCCGGCCTGCTACTCTAGGCGGGCCTGAGTTTCCTCTCCTCACCTAATCCCTTCAGAATACATGCTGGATCATAAAGAAACGGTTAATATCAAGATGTATTTTTTTTTTTTAAAGAGACAACTTTGTCACATCTTGCTTTCCAGTCTCTGTTTTCCATGTATTTAATCTTTTGTGTGGGTGGAAAGATAAACCAAAATGACTAAGAGAGCTTGCTCTTGAATTATTTTATTTACATGATATGGTGGTCAATGTAGAAATGAAGTATGTACATTTAAGTAGCAATTCATTGGCAAAAGACAATTTTCTCAAATTCCAGATTGTAAATATTTGTAGAATAAGCTTCAGGTCAAAATCAAGCACTTCTTCTTTGAAAGTACACGTTTGTAATTCTATTTCTCTTTATATTGCAATGTTCCTATTTTTGGAGATATCATTCAGAATCATTCAAACCGTAAAAGGAAGTTTTTAGTAAACAACAAGCGCGTAATCAGGCAAAGCTTTTTTGCTTTTATGACCATCAGCCCTGATTATGGCATATCATCAAGTTGCTGTACTATCCTGTTTGAAGGGCACCGCTAACTTTGATGAGTGTCTCACAATAAATGACCCCATTGTCTCAATACCCAGTAGTAAGTTCTTTGAGAGTACAATGGAATAGAATCAGTAAAAAAAAAAAAAAAAAAAACAAAGTAAACAGGACGGCTGAGGAAAAGCTGGCTAAAATGAGGTGAAAGGAAAAGTTAGATTTCGCAATGATGGGGTATTATTTCTTTGTCTAAAAGAGAACCAGTACTCCTCTATGCATTTAAACAAAAGATACTAACATTTATCAATACAATAGATTCTAGGAGGAAAACAAAACGCCACCGCCGAGGTGGACGCTGCGGTTGCAGGGTAATTCGCGTGCAGCAGCTCCGCGTGGGTCCCGATGGTGGATGACGTGTGTGCATTCGGGAGCGCGGCCCGTGCGCTCGGGGGCGTGCGAACAGGAGGGAGACGTGCCTCGCGGCTGCACCGCAGACCTCAACTGTGGCCCCCACCCGGGTGCACGTGCGGGCAGCGCGCCTCCCAGGGCACCCGCGCCCGCCAACGTCCTCCGGCGGGCGGCCGTCCGAGCGGCAGGAGCGCGGCGCCCGTCGACGGGGTTGCCATGGTTTCCAGGGTCACGTGAGCCCGCCGCGGCGGGGCGGGGGCGGGGTAGCCCGGGTGGGGGAGAGCAGAGGAGGCGGCGGGAGCGGGAGGAGTCGGAGATGCTGCCATCCCTCCCGGGGCCGTGCTCGCTCAGCCACCGCTGCTCCCGCCGCCGTCGCCGCACGAAGCAGCCGCGCGCAGGGAGCCGCGGGTCGGGCCAGCCGGGCCTCCGCGCTCCAGTGCGCCGCGCTCACCGCTGGTAGCGCCGCCAGCGCCCTCCGCACTAGCTT